CTGCTAACGATCTCCTTGGATACATATACATACATAACCTCCTTTGTTCATTTTCTAGAGCATTTGTTTGATTTTCAGTTTGTGACTTATTTCCAATTTTAGATTCGTTAATTGTGACACCCTGTATGTTGTGGTTTCTCACAATGTCTAATAAATCCGTATGTTGTTGAATGTGTTTTTCCTGGTTATTTATTTTGTTTTTTTGGGGGGATTTGCTTTTCTTTATTGGATTCTTCATTTTTTGTTTTATGGTTTGGTTTGGGTTGGTCTGTCTTTAATGAATTTGTCTTCCAAAAATGCAATTTTCTGTTCCAGTAGTATAATGACTCGTTCTTTGTCTGCAATGATGGATTCCTTATCAGCAGAAATTTGTCTAAGTAATTTATTTTCCTCTCTCAGGAAGTCTTCTTCAGATAAATAAAGTAGGTCATCATCTTGTCTATCTGATTCATGCTTGCATTCCGCTTTTTTTTTGGTCACTAGATTGCTTGAGACACTTTGGATGGAAGTAATCATTACATTTGATACAATTCACTTTATTTACTACTTTTTTCGAGCAATGTTTACAAGTAAAATTCTCGTTTTCTGTGGGAGCTGGCGACGAACAACCTGCTCGGCCCGCCATGTTATATTGCCATGTTGTATCACTGTTATAAAATAAGACTCATGCCAATCTATAGTAAACTCTTTAGTTTCGGCAATACGCTTTTCTAGTAGCACCATATTAAATGTGTCTTTTTGTATAGAATCGAAACAGGGCTATTAAAAATTAGTCACAGATGATGCAAACTTCATTTGTTTTTGACCCTGCTCAAGGTAACTTCATGAAATATCTATTTTTGAAATGTTAGTTTGTGTTTGAAAGTAATACACAATTTCCATATGATGCAGACATTACTGAACTCACTGTATAATGAAAAGCTAAGAAAATAACCCACTTCCTGAGAATTACTCAGTGTTTGTCATATTTCATTTTTTATCAAGATACGTTTATTTGGCAGAATATGTTCATCAAACTTTTATATTGAGTGATCTCAACTTTGAAGTCTTTAATGTTGCTCTTTATATCAAATCATCGCGTTAGTTTTAATTTGATGATCATCACATGAATTGTTTTTCATTTTGTTGTTGAAGCCGTGTGAATGGATAAGACCATAATCATATCAATTTTCTTCACTTGCACATAAAAGTCTGTTAATGAAATGTTATATGTATCTAATTATATAATATTCGACTGAACACTTTTTGAAAACCCAATTTCATGAGATATTCAACTGTGTTGTGGCTGGCAAATTCATGATACAAGGTCTGTTCAGAAAATGAGGTGAATTTTAAATTTCGCGGGCTACGTACATTCCATTAGGTTTTTTTTTATGTTGGTACACTCGTACCGAACATATGATCACAGTTTCGGCTGTTTAGCATGTTTAGTTTGTTGGTGAGAGGCATAAAAGTTGAAAGTGTTCTGCGTTTTTGGCAACTCTCTGGTATTACAAACATGGATCAAAGAATTTGTTTACAATTTTGTGTAAAAATTGGAATTAAGTGCTTAATAACACTTGAAATGTTGACAGTGACATACGGTGATTGTATTCTGAATCAGAAAAATGTTTTTATAAGTGGTATAAGTTTTTCACAAAAGTTTGAAAAGATGTGAATGACGAAGCTCGTCCTGGACACCCCAGCACATCAATAAAATCGATGAAAATGTGGAGAAAGTGTTTCGAAAATCAGTAGCTGGTTTTGGGTTTATTGGTTGCGTAAGTTTTCAGACCTGACATTTCGTCTGCAACTGTGGCAGACATTAATTCTTGAAAGCAATGTGGCAATGGTCCCAAAGATCTTTCTTGTTGCTACGTGCACACATCACGGGAAATTACTTTGATCANATTTTTTTTTCTTCGAAGTTTCTGATCATTTGCTAAACTATTAGACAGATTACAATAAAGTCTGTAACATCAATATATCACAACATATATTTTGAAAACCAGTTTTCTAAGAAAATCTATTAATTTAATACTGGAAGAAGTCTATCGAAGAATATCAGTTCAAATCTGGTTGACGAATGACTACTACACCCAAAACGGACTAGTAACATGTCACCAGTTACATCTTCTTTGCTGTAAAGTTACTGTTTTTGCTAATACTTATAAAAGCCTATAGAAATATATGTGTAAATTTAAATATCTATTTTTCAGAATTAATAATATATGTTACATCATTGTCTAATCAGTTTTGTGTTTAGTTTGCATGATTTCTGTACCGAATACTCACCAACAAGAGCAATAAAAATAATCAATAACTATTATTAAATCTTTGACACGAAATTAAGATTCACTGTTCTAAATTTTAAGCATAAAATCTAACTTTTATGAATTGTAGATGCCCAATTTACCAACTAATGATGTTCCACAGCAACCCGGACAGTGGATTAACGGTCACTGGGTGAGCTCAAACCCGACAACTCCTCGAGAAGCGAATCTGCATGCACTGGCTGAAATGGGTTTCTGGAACAGAGATTTAAATGCAACTCTTCTGGCAAGGTACAACGATGACTTGTCAAGAGTCGTAGCTGAACTTGTCCAGTAAAATAATGGTATAACTTTATTGTATTGAAGCATATATATATTGATTTTAGTTTTAGACTGTTTGATTTTTATAACTTTTTGATAAGTTCAATTTTACTTGATGTGTTGGTTACAATATGGTTATAATCTCTAGATTAGGTTCAATAAGCTCCACAGCTTATGCTGAAAATGTATATCCAAGATGGAGGCGAAAGGGAAACTGAATGTTTCCAGGTTGGTTACAGGGTTAACATGTTTATGATATATAAATTATGTATTTCCGTGTTATTGTGATAATTTAGTGTCAACCATTAATGCTAACAAGTATTCAATAATATTGGTGTACTAAATAAAAAATAAAATTGCTCTAAGCACACTGGATATTTTCATACTCCTCATTGCATTCCTAAATTTTCTTATGTAACAAGAGAGAGGATGGAATGTTTCCAGGAGAAACAAGAAATTGCACGAAAAAACTTGACTTTCTCCATAAAAATTGACTTTTTTTTGTCAATGTTACCCCAAAATTTTTTTATGGTTATATCGATAACCTTTTGAAGACGATTACCAAGAACTAATAGTAATCTGGATAATCAAACTAATCAGCATTATATACATCTGATTGACAATCTGCCGTTAAATTAGACAGTGATTGGACCACTTTTAAACATGATTATATTATTTTTTTATCGAGTGGGAATATTTTCAAATTCTCGATTAAAAGGTATTCATCTCTAGATCTTCGAAAGGCATTTGATACAGGTTACAAAATTTTATTCTGAATACAGCTGAGTTCATATCATGAAAAGAATTAAAAGACACATGTTACAAACTATCGCCCAGTGGTCCCTTTAAGCAGTTTCTCAAAGTTTGAGAACATGGAAGGCTCATAAATCCAATCTTAGAAATGAATTAGCTACCTGTGTAAGAAATATCAAGGATATTATAAATGATAGTATTGTTCTTATGAACTTCTTCACCATGTTTTATGGAATTCACTTATGAAGTGGAGCTGCGCATGTTGATTAATTTCTCATAGTACAAAAAGGGTATTTGCAGTTTCAAAATTTGATGAAAATTGTGCACCATTTGAAATTTATTATATTTGCCGTTATTAATCAATTCCTTTACAAATGCCGACTTTCTGCTAAGAAAAGCATTTCCAGTCATGTGGCTCAAAATGAATATGATACCAAATATAAATCAGTTATAGCATTGTACTTTGAATTATGCAAGATTCACTACTTTCAGATTTTTGTCTACGAAATACATATAACTATTTGATTCCAAAATTAGTTATATTTTCCAATAAAGTTTTCTGGAAGAAAATGTATTTAATAGAAGTGGGAAGATTATATATCGCTTCAATGGAACACAAGATTAACTGAAAATAATAAAAACGTTACATAGGTCAAACTGAGCACTATTCTAAAAGTAGGAAAACAGAACAGGATATCGATTTTTCTAATCCCACAGTTTCTTTTTACATACTAGAGTAAATGACCACCAGATATCCTAGACATTCATGTTTCAGAGAGTGCAATGATATACAATTTCAGACTTGATAGTGTAAATACCAGATAAAATCGAAGGATTGAACACAGCATTTAATAAAATGACGTAGAAAATCTATTTCTTATACTTTATAAATTCTTCAGATATTTTTTAGGGCTTGTCTCATCTTTAAACATCTTGTTTGGCCATACATATGTTTACCAAAACTATGTCAAAAATGTTTTTTACTAGAAATAATGGTTAGGTAAATTATTTTTGTATCCCAAACACTCTCATACGTCCTTTTTTTGTATAACTACGAGGATAAACTTCACTTCAAAACCTCAGCAGAATTTTTTTTTCTTCGAAGTTTCTGATCATTTGCTAAACTATTAGACAGATTACAATAAAGTCTGTAACATCAATATATTACAACATATATTTTGAAAACCAGTTTTTCAAGAAAATCTATTAATTTAATACTGGAAGAAGTCTATCGAAGAATATCAGTTCAAATCTGGTTGACGAATCCTCACTTCCTTATTCAGATTCCTGCAGTGGATTTTCAACAAATCCATGATATTATGGTCATACTCTTCTGGGGTTGGCTTGATGTTTGTAGCCCAGTAGTAAATGTCCCAGTCATTAGAGGGTCCGTTGATCAACCTATCATACTTATCAACATCTTGTGCATCAAATTTGTCCAAGTGTTTTGCAACAAAGGTACTCAAAAGAAGGTCATTTTCGAGCATGCCTCGTTTACGCGACTGATAAAGAAGTCTCGCTTTCTTGGTCTGCAAAGATTCATTTTCTCTTGACTTAGGCCTGGGAATGACGAACAGAGGGTCTTCTGGTGGATCCACTATAGTACAGAAAAATTTACTATTGGCAGTTATCCCGTGAATTTTGTTACCGATACATCGCCTAATAAGATGAAAATTCATTTTGAATGAATTGATTATATCTTTTACTTTGTTTTCTATTTATATCATTTTCACTTCCTTGACATTGACGTAACAAGGCACTTCGATGACAAATGACAAGTGGCACGCAAATGACGCAAGGCATCTGTGTACATACGTCGAATAGGTCACTGTGTACATAGTACTTCTTTTTCTCGTTAAATTACACTCTGCTTTTTGAAATGTCACCAGTGGTACTGATTGAATATGAACAAATATATAGCTTGTTCACGTTAAGAAGAGAATAACGTCACAAGTTACGGCGTTGACAACATGTGCACTATTTCGAACCTTCAAATTTTTTGTACTGTTGATATGTTTTATTGCTATTATCCTTACTTACTTTTAGTATTTGTTGAGACTATTTCGACAACGCTTTAGGCATATTGAATATACGCAGGTCTCATCAAAAGAAATGATTAGTTCTGAAAAGAAAAGAAAGACTGACAGTTTTCGAGTTTTTTTCGATTCGGCAACGTCTGAAAGTTTACTATCAGTTGAGCAACTTACAAAATGAAATGTTACTAGTTTCATTGCTGTTGAACGCATTTCAGTGGGAATTTTAACGTTATGTTGGATATACAAAATTACCAAAGATGACGTCATTCTCCTCTTACGTGAACAGCCTATATTTTTCTAGTTTTCATTGCTATCAAAAGTTTTAATTAACTTCCATCCAATACAATCAATTTTCGTGTTTGAAGTACGAACGGCGAATTCTCTTAAACTGCTCCGAATATAGTAACTTAACACAGAATATAGAACCTAGAACCAGCAAAACGAAACCTGGTCAATTGTTGTCGTTCCATGGTTGTTGCACAGTATTTTGTATATACAGAAATACTGTGGTTGTTGTAGAAACTTCTCTATATTCGTAGTGTTTGGTTGTTCGAAAATATTTTCACATTTATTTTCAACAATTTCTAAATCTTATGGAAATGGCGGATCCAGAATTAGAAGCTATCAGAAAACAACGTCTGGCTCAATTGCAATCTCAGTACAAGGTGATTGAAATACGAATATTTTTTTTGGTTTAAAATTACCTTCATTTATTCTAGGGTGATGGTTCTGGAGAAAATTCGCAAAAGCCCAATGAAGAACAAATAAAGGCTCAAGAAGATATGAAAAACTCAATATTAGCTCAAATTTTGGATCAAACAGCCCGAGGACGATGTAAGTTATTTGGACATATCCGATTACTATTTTATTTACAAATTGTGAATATTTCCCAGATTTAAATAATTATTAAAAAGCCTTCTGCTGTACAAATAAAACAAGCTTGAACAACGTCACTATTTTTGAATAAAGTTGAATTAAATATTGACTACATTTAACCTCCACATCTTTGATTCCCTCAAAAAGAAAACTGCTCTCAATAATCTATTCCAGTGATCACAGCAGAAGTAGTAGACATCAAGGTAAATGTTCTAATGTTTATCTAGAGTAGTGATTCATTTGATAATTTTCAATTTGAGGATTGGTTGGAATTAATAAAATTGAAATTTTCTAAAAAGTGAAAAATTTCCATTTGGTGCTGCCAACTTTTGGTTCTGCTAGTTTCCACAACATATCCATTAAATGGAGAGAAAAAAACTCATTGACTAAGAATGTTGTTTCTAGATAATTATATACTTTTCATTCGTAAAAATCTCAAACTTCTGGTGGAATTCATCTTCAATGTGAAATGATATATTTTTTTACAGTGAATACTCTTAAAATGGCTAAACCTGAAAGAGGAAACATGGTGGAAGAAATGCTGGTAAGAATGGCAAAAACAGGTCAAATTTGTACAAAAATTGGAGATAAAGAGTTGGTGTCAATGTTGGAGAATATCAGTAATCAAACACAAAGTAAGACAACTGTGAAATTTGACAGACGGAGGGCAGCAATAGACTCGGATGACGACCTTTAATTTATTACATTTTCACAATTTCAATTGTATATTTTCATTAATCATAATAATATTTTGTAAGTAAACAATTTTCAACTTGATAAATCTTAACAATATAATGACTAGTTTTCACCCCCTCCATTTATGCATTCATTCCTCTTTAGCGTGATTTTCTGAAAAATAAATTATAAATTAAAAAGCATGTACACGTATGATAAACAAATCAACAATTATGAAATGTCCAAATAAAATAATTTCTGCACTGAAAAGAACAAAATGACATATGTGTTGGTGAATGATAAAGGATGAATCATTATATAATAATCACAGAAAAAGACTACAGACAAGTATAAGAACATAGGCTTTCACAGAACCTGAAGTGCCAAACATTTTGTCTGCTATTGCAGCAGTCATTATCAATGGTATGTGCAAACGCACAGTAAACGCCTCTCAGTAAACACTGAGAGGACAAAAGTTACCTCCAGTCTCAGCGGGGTACGATTCAAGGTACTAACTGCACTTCAGTCAATAGATGCTCTCTTCATTCTTTCAGGTAACTCAGGGTTAAGAAGAGTTGGAAAAGAGAGAAGCTCTTGCTGTTGGGGTTGTTCAGCAGACGGCCATCGCCTCTGTAAATTTAGGGTCAGATACTTGGTTACCTCATGATTCACAGAGGGCTTCATGGGTAGCTAGAGAAAGGATATCTATCATAGAAGAGCCCTCCATTACTGATACAAGACTTTATACAATGAGGGGACGCACAGTACAGCGAGGATTCTGTGAGTGAACTCAGAATCATACATCTTTTCAGTAACTAACAAACTAAGAATGATTCTTGATTGGAGAATAATTTTTTATGAAACATTCATTACCAGTCTACTTTCTTGACAACTTTTAGATTATTACAGTCTAACATAATTGGTTAACAAATTAAATGTTTGGTCCCAAGTAACTTGATGAATTATCTGAAGTGAGAGAAAGTGATACGGAAGTTATTTCTCTGTCTAGAATACACTTAGTATTTAACGGGCCTTGGTGATACATAACTTGTGTAAAGTAAAATTAAACTTTTTGTTGTATTGGACTAAAAAAAACACAAAATCTTTATACAAACCTTCAGCTTCATCTTCAGCATCCAATATATCAGAGCAACAAACAGAAATAAAGATGAAACTCAAGAAGGCGACTGGCAAACCGAATAATACTGTAGTGAGGACCGGATTCCCTCTCCAAATATCTGCTAAAGCTGAAGTTGCATCAAAATAGGCCCTGTAGAAGGAAATGAAAAGTCCATCTCCACCAAAGGCCTAAACACATAAAATAAACATTGACATTTTTGTCATTCAAATGAACACTTCAAGTTATCTAGATGGATTATAGTGTGAAATTTGGTTCCAAAATTCATATCTGCAGGTGTGTATGTGGATTTTATACTAGGAGCTCGATTCCAAAAACAAAGGTGATATCTTTCTCTCCGTCTTACTGAATATGCCATCTATGGAATTGACAGAAGACTCAATCAACGAATATCAAAAATAACCTATCAGCTAGGCTGAACCAATGGCGGGTCAAACCAGCGCCGCCCGATGTTGGATCACATCTTTTTTGTGTTTGGGCTCTGGTTTTTAGTTGCTTCTATCGATCTTATAGATTTCATTTTTTTGTAAGAGATGTCATCGCCTTTACTCACTCAGACTTGTTCTGAGTACAGTTGAATCCAGCAGTGCATTTGTGGTTCAGCCTAACACTACTGAAGAGATCTATGGCGGGTCGAAACAGGGCTGCCTGGTGTTGGATCATGGATGCCTCATGGTTAGACTGGTTTCAACCAGTTGTCTGGCAGTCAAAGGCAGAGGTTTAACACTTGTTCGGCAGTAAATATCGAAGCAAGGTTTTGCAATGGACTGTTTTAGGAGTCATAGGTCATCTTCTACTTCCGCAGGTTGAATCGTTTATTGATCCCACAGTTGGAGTAAGAGATGTCATGAAAGCATCACCTTTACTTAATCAGACTTGCCCTTTGACTTCAGCATGCACAGTTTATGAATGCTTTGTTTTGAGGCTCTGGTTCTAACTATTCTCAAAAGCATGTTGACCATTATAGCGATCAATCGACATATTTAAAGTACTTTTCCTTTAATGCCCTCACTAAATTTGGTGCATATCACGTGCTTGGGTCGGTAAAAACATGGCCAAGAAAAAATTTTGCTTGCCTGAAAACTTGATATGATGTTCTCTTATAGTAAATCGCACAGCTACAATTATCTCCAACAATTATGGAGGTAAAGGTGTGCCCCCAAAGGAAATATTAAAGCCTAAACCATAATTTATAAAAAAGTTGCAGGTCTGTTTGGGATAGAAACTTTTTTCTGGCATATACAATTATGAAGTTCCGTGTTAGGAATCACACGTTAAAAGGTAAGACCTCGTTAGTCCTTAGCTCGCACAAGTTTCTCAACTTCTGAGAGTTGTCGTTTGTATGGGGGCGGCAGCTGATTAACGGAAAAACAGATTTCAAACAGATTTTTTTTAAACAGATTTAGGAGTACAAACCATTTATGGATATTCTATTTCATATACAGAAATTAGAATATCATTAGCAATGCTCTCACATTGTTATCATTTACTCACTTATGAAAAGGGGCCTCAAAACAATCTCTTGGGATACACTCAGTATAGTTCTCATTTTTGATACTTTATTTTCGTCCTTTGAAATGTGCCTTTTGAATAATCATCAGATTGATTTAACTGATATTGATTGTGTAAATAGTTTCTCTAATTAAATGAAAAGAAATTTCTGAAGTATATTCTCAGAATGAAAATAGCATCAACTATATAAGTAGTTGAAGACAAAAAATTGAGTTGAAAAATACTTACAGGCACTGATTGGTTGCGTATCCCTTCTAGGAACACTTCTATTGTTTCTGAACTCATTTCAGAACAATTAACTTCTGGAAGGTGGTACTGATGATTCGTTGAATTCAGAACCAATAATTGGGGCAGAGGGAGAACTTGCATGGCAATACTGTTGACAAAGTCGGGGTTTCCAACCCATCCAAATTGAAAATGTTTATGATATTTTGATCTGTTCTTTCTAACTAGATTCTCCACTTTGTCTCTGAATTCTAACATATCTGCAGGTATTTGCTGCAGTCTGTTTTCTTCAACAACAACAAGAACAATGTATTTGTTTGTTTGGATAATTTCATTTATAGTTCCTCTGGTGACTTTGGGAAACAGTTCGAATCGCTCTTCATTTACCCAATTATATAATGACAAATTCAGATCGTTTATGTATGTGACGGAATTGTATTCTTCATTTGGCCTGTTAACTGAAAAATATTTCCCAAATAACGAAACTGATCCAGGTTATTAAACTTACTTTAATTGAGTTAAAGCAAAGAATTTTTTTCACATTTTGTTGAATATTTCCAATATTTGTTATACAAGGTATTCAAATTTACGCATAGGAATCTTATAAAGATGAAAGATAGAGACGTAAATTAAATTGTGGCAATGTTGCCTATTTTTAAATACTATTGAATGATACCAGAAAATCGACTTTAGCTCTGTTGGTTCTGAAGATATATGAAGAAAAAAACGAAAATTTGCGTATTCTTTCTTTACATATGTGATATAATGGCCCAATACTTAATAAAAATCCCTAATGTACTCAAGAAAAACTTTGTTGTGAGTTTTTTTGCTACATAATTTTACAAAAAAGCAAGATGTGTTTCGCTACAATGCTTTATATATATTTTTGAAATTTGAAGTACCTGAATCTAGCCTATCCAATTAATATTAAATATGTTTACCTGGGTTCAAAAATTGACATTGACATAAGAAAATACATTTTATAAACTCATTTAAATAAACAAGTGATGAATGAAATTACCAGAGTTTATGTCTTAGTCAATTACCAGTCTCCTCTTTTGAAAAAATATTCATTAACGGAAAATTATTTTATTCTATTTGTAAATTCAGCAAATGACCCAAATTCTAAAATCTATTCATTCTGAAACATTCTAAAAGATTGTGTTTCAAACTTTTGTAAATATAATACGTCATAGAAACTTCTTACATGCTTTTTAATTATTTGGGAAAATGTTCTTTCTGTTTTGGGCAACAGCCACAAGTCAATTTATAGCATCGAAGTAGTTTCGTGAATGGAAAGAACAATTCCACATTAGCAAACCATCTTTAAACAGAAGGACATGTGTTCAATCACAACTATGACGAGAGAAGTTTAAAAGTCGATCTTTTAGAATGTTTAGAAATGAATAGATTTAGGAATTCAGTTCATTTACTGAATAACCAAATAAGATTCAAATAACTCCTTGTTACTGAATATTTTTTCAAATGTGGAAACTGGTAATTAACTGATACATAAACTCAGTTAATTTCATTCATTACATGTTTATTTAAATGAGTTTGTAAAATTTATTTTCTTATGTTAATGTTAATCGATTCATGATATAAGTTGATAATTCTCAAGAATTTATATTTCTGACAATTTTTGAAGGTCATAAGACATTTGGTTTAATCATTTTTATTAAAGATCAAATCATTGCCAGCAGGTTAACTTTCAGCTGTTCAAAAATTATCCGTATCATTAGTGAAAAGCATAGATTTTTATAAAGGAACTTAGTACTAAGGTTCCTAAAACAATCCATGTGGAACACCACAATCAGAAAAGTATGTGTCAAATCCCAGAAGCTTCTCAAATAACAGTTATATTATTCAATTGAAAATTGGAGTGACATGATTTCAATTCAAATTAATTTTAAATGTTACAGCTCTTTAGAAAAAAGTTCTGGAGCATTGAATTTGCGAAAACAAATAGAGAGTTGATTAATAACTGAAACAGAACTCACCTGGATAAAAGTGAGACAATCCATCTTTATAAACAAAAACTGAAGGTAACTCTGATATATTTTCATTATTCTGCAACAGTTCTTTATTTATGGAATAAAAATAAAGTTTCCGGACTTTTCACAATTTCAATTGGTGGACCTGTCATTCTAACTGCAAAATTTATAATATCATCTTTAGTTTTATCTCCCCGGAAAGTGTACTCTGAATCGGCTGTTATGCTATAAAATTAAATAACATGTGTAATTGATTAATACACCTATTGCTAAGAACTCACAATTTGATAGTAGGGTATCCACGTATTCCAAATTCTGAAGCAGCAGAAGGAAAGCGACTACAATCGATACGGCTAACTCTCACATTCGATTTTGATAGAGACTGAGCTACAAGAGACCAAACTGGTTCCAACTTCTTACAGTGGCCACACCAAGGGGCATAAAACTTGACTAACCAATAGCCTCCCTCTCTCCTGATATCAGAAAATTTGTCAGTCAATTCCAAAATTCTAGAAGAATGTATCCCCAGGAATAACACTTGAATAAATGAATCAAAAATTAATTTGCTAACATTGTTTCCTACATTTCTAGCAGAACTCTCATATTGTTGCAGTCTTAATGTTTACATAAAAGTGCCAAAAAATACATACCAAATAGTATTATACATGAAATAAAGTTCATTTTGAATAATTTTAACTATTCACAATCATTGCAGATTTCATACAAAATGTATTGATTTCTAAATTAAATTTAAAATACAGGTAATAAATGTTTACAAACTATCCATTTTGTTTACGATTTTTTACAGTTTTCTGATTCCAGGTTCGTTCTGAATTGCTTGAAAATGACATATTGAGTGATATATCTCATCTGTCAAAACTAAAGTACGTTCCTCAAATAACCAGTAACAAATATTTAGATTACCGACGATTAATGGTAGTTATTGGAAATAGACATTTCTGAAGAAAGAAGTGACTCAGAATGTCATTTATTTTTGAAAATAACCCAAATAAAACTAAACTCTAAATATTTTTTCAAAAGTTCAGTGGTCAAATCAATGTACCGTTCCATCAAAAAAATCACATTCTCGACATTATGTGTCGGGGTTTCATATTTCCACATAATTACTCTCATGCAACTACTTGATGATATTGTCGAATATAAATACGAATATAAATAGTATAGATATATATTTCCGTAGAAGAAAAAAATGTACGTATGTCATAGAATAGATATGCTGGTGATCACCATTATTGAACTTGTTTTCTTAAAAACTGCGAAAAAATAATTATTGATATAAATGTGAGGTAATATGCTTCAGGTGATCATAATTGAACAGGTACCTTAGGCAGAGGCTTAGGTCATTTTTTGGAGGTAGTCTTAATTATGGTTACCTGTAGTATATAAATATTAGTGTAAGAAAGCAACTTGAAGTATTCAAATCGCTTGATGAAGCTACTGTGTTAGCGAAACATGTGATATATAATTTTCAAATAAAGTTTGTAGAGATCAAATCGTGAGGTGTAGTTTTTGAAAAGTATGGGTTCTTTGGTAAAACTAGGTGCGAATGGCGTACAGATCTCGTTTTACTAGGATTTGATTGCGATCTAGTGCGAAAATACTTACAATAATGTATTGTAATATTTTCTTATTCGAAAATTAGAAAATTTCTCACCTTTCGATATCGCATATGTGCCTGATACGACGATGAATCAAATGTGATAATTCCAAAGCGAAAAATTCTTTCACCAGGATCATTAAAAATCCGTTGAGTTTTTTGAATTCTATGTGAGACAATTATGGATCGCGTATCATGTTGGAGTTTAAACTTTCCATGCGACTCTTGATGAGTAAAAACTGTTTTAACGAGCGAAAGAGAGTATGTTGGTAAATCTTTTTGTTACATTCTATTTTGTGTTTTTTTCTTCTCGGTTTTATTACATAAAGAAGAAAACTTAAGTACTTTAGACATGCTATGACTCAGATTCAGAATTAGGTAAGGGAATCAGTACACTTCAAAATCTAGACAGTGATAGTACAGGGAGAGCACTAATAAAGGAGTAGGCATTATCAAACCAGGAGAAATATAAATTAATTGGGTGAAAACATTTTTCAATCTTGCTTCGCAGATTGAATGAAATGAAAACATGGAAATACAGGAACAGGAATCACGGTGGTAGAGAAATACTCATGTATTTCTTTCAGGGTTATTGTAGAAGGAAAAAGATGAAAATATTGGCAGATTTTCTCAATTGAAAATAGAAAAAAATGGGTGATCTCAAGATAAAACATATTATTGAAATGAAAATGTAAAGAATGAAATACATTGGGTCGTGGAATTCGATATGCTTTTAGATGATACTTTAACCAAGAAAGGATACAATTTGTATATCCTATACGGTAACGTAATTTATAAAGCTATAATAAAAGAAATAAGTAGAGGTTACTGTTTTTTTGTCTATATAATCTTCCACAATCTAAGAAACGAACAAAGCTCGCCTCAAATTCAAAATAGCTTTAATTGTTTCAACATACGTCAAAAGAATGAAATGTGCAGATGTTATATGCGATATAGTTTACATCAATACATAGGTATACTGGATGTTTTTTAGAAAATTCAGTCGAAGTACATGTTTATGTTTTCAACCTCTCATCTAGTAACAAGTTACCGATTAATTGGACTCTTCAGAGGTTTCTAGTGAGCAGTAACTTTTCGGGGTGACCTTTTCATTTTGCCCTTTTTACACTTCAACAGATTCTCTATTGACTAAGCTTTGTTAGTTTTTCAGATTGTGGAAGTATTGAGTAAATGAATAAATAGACATTTTGCTTAAGGAAATAAACTCCAATATGTACTCTTCTATACTGATTACATTCAATGGAAATCATCCCACGGTATGTAAATATCTGTTTTCAACCCATGTAACAAACGCCTTCTACATACCTCCAATTGCACAATATTATAACTGCTTATTATATGGGTATTTGAAAAAATATTATAAAGGTAAAACCAAATGTTTTTGATGTAGTGGAACACATAAAAATGATACAGAATATAAAAACTGTCAAATCAATACATGTTTATTTTGTAATAGTAACGAATACAAATAAGTTGACAAAATTTGTATACCAGATGAACATCAAAAAAGTTTGAGAGAAAATGACCATTGACAATATTTCATTCTGTGGCTGCTACATTTTTTTTCTAAGGAAAGGCCAAATTTCATGTATAAACTTGGATATAGAATTAACAATTCTGAATAAAGAAGTGAAATTCATGAAATAAGTAACATGAGGATGAAAAGGACTCGTACTCAAAGTACAGGGACGAATTCAAAACAGACAGAGTTATGACAAACAAACATTGAATGATATATATCATCGTAACCACATGATGTGATTTCTCTATTAAATGATGGCATTGTTTCATTCAGACAATGGATGAGAGCAATAAAAATAAGAGAACAATAAAAATAAGAGAACAATAAAAATAAGAGAGCAATTAGAAACAAAATCGATAAAGAAACGAACAAAGCCAATTAATCGAGTGAAAAATTAAATTTATCAACATATAAATGAACAAAACTGTAGGCTCAGACTCACATATGACTCTTATGAAATAGGGCGACAGCTGATTAACGGAAAAACAGATTTTAAACAGGTTTTTTTAAACAGATAATATGATAATAAGATAAATATTCAATGAAATATAAGAAGATTCATTGTCAATAAACATTATCTAATCACCCTAGTACGTGATTATGAATATCTGACTACTATTATTTCACTGAAAACTGGACACTGCATGAGTATAGTAAGTTTACTCCGAATAGGGGCGAATGATACACTTAATTATGAATGTGGAAAACCGGAAACAATATATTTTTCGATATCATCTCCGAGTACAATATCTACCAAAAGTTAATAAAAATTGAAATATTTGCAGTCATGTGAACAGACCTAAAAGGTATTTGATCGTAAGAATTATTGAAACATTGAAAGAATTCATGCCAAATAATCAAATAAAATTATGAAATGGTGAGGAGTACCTACGTTTATGATACTAACTTTCTTTTTTATAAATCAACCCCTATGTTTTGTGCCATTTGTCACGAACCCCCGATCACACAGAAGAGTGAAGCAAAAAATAAAACCCTGAAATGAATAAAGACAAAAAAACGGACGCATGGTTGCATAATACAAGACAATTTGCGTCCTTGGACGAAGCTTTTGTTCCATGGCGGCAGTTATGAAACAGGTGGAGTGGTGGTCCAATGTGCCAGAAAAAGAAGCAAAGATCATACAATAGACAGAGAGAGACAGACATTTTTTTGTAGTTCCGTGTTAATATTTCCTATTTTTTCGTTCTGTTCCACATTGAATTCCGTACTCCAACACCATTGTTCCAAGTTACAAATAGCTCAACCATCTGTCAAATAAATCGATTACAATTAATTGAAACATTTAACTCTTTCAAAGTCACAATTTTCCAAGATCAACAAAAATAATATTACTGCATGCATTATTTCTTGGAAGTGATGTGATGGTGTGAAGAAAAATGTGACGTAGATCAAAGACATTAAGACTGACGATCAATAATTTCCAGTTGTGTTTTATCAATCCATCTCAAATTATGGAAATATCATGGAAATGGTCCAGCTTCTACTTATGTTTATTACTTTTCCAATTATGTAATGGGATACCTATCAATTCAGAAAATACTCTGACAGGTGAGTCATTGCTGCATGTCTTCAAGTATACCTAATCATGACCTATCACTTTCATGAGTGAATTATTAATCATGGGACATTATCAACTTCAAATTTGCCAATATTATTCAATAAACCATTCACCTTCAAAATATAGTCTACCAGAGTATAAGATTTAGATGCTGATGTGATTGTGTTTCCTGTGGTAAACTGCATGCAACAAATGCATAACTGTGTTTTAAAAGAATACATTATGAAGAATTTTCGTTCTACTTGAAAAACAACTGTATTTAACATACAATAAATTGTAATAATATAACTCAGATATTGAAGTTGGATGAAATATTCTTTCGGGACAAATGCTTTTTGCTTATTGATTATCACTAGGTTGTACTGCAAATATTAAATTTTCAATAGTATATAGTTTGAGAACTATAGAATATAAATAATATCTTTAAATTTGAAACAGGATCAGTTCAGATGTTCTAAACGTAACAATACCAACTGTAGATGAGGTTTTATGTGGAGATGTGAGTGGCTCGAAGGCAAACTCGGATCAAATTGAAGAAATTTCTTTATTTTAACAGTTTCATATTAAATGATTGAAATCATCTAAATAGTTTTCATATGCATATCTATAAATTCATATAATAAAATTTTGATCTATAAATTTTGGCTAAGAAAATACACTGAATTGAAAGATTTAAGAATTTATTCATTAATTTTTTTATTGTTATAATCGAGGCAATATTAAAACACTGCTCTCAGAGTAGAAGTTTTGGGATTAATCAAGTAGCTACTTCTTTTCACAATTTTCATTGATTATAAAATATTGAAAATCACATCTTTCAGTGAATAAACACATATATTAAAGCCTTAAAGGCAGTTCCTGCATATCTTGTAATATTTACGCAAGTGGATGTGACAAATTAGAGCTATTGAGTTAGCAAAACTACTTTGAAATGTGACATCTATTCTGCTTGCCTTGCTGTTAAGCTGGCAGAACCAAATAGAAATCTTTCACTTAGAAAATTCTGAGTTTGTAACAATTTCAATCTCGGATCAGGCTCTCTCCTTATCCCATTGAACAATTTTTTGCTGTTACTTTGAGTTGAATATGTCAATAGTTACTCT